TGTTTCAGGCAGAACGCCACTAACTACTTCAAGTCGTCGGTCGATTCGTTCCTTAAAGCTTCCATCACTAGTAAATACGATTCCGAGGAACTATAACTTTTTCACCTGCTTCACTTCTTCTCCCTTTATCTGCGGAGCGCAACATGCACAATTACATCGTCACCTTTGTTCGATTTAGCTGTCATTTCACTGTTATGTCTACTCCATGCCGCAGTCTATATAATAGAAATTATGCAGATACGGCGTGCATTCATTGCTAGACAGATCATAAGGAAATTTTGCCGTGGTACATATATCCATTTCAGTATGTCGTTCCATGTTATTACGCATACATCTTGCCATCGGTGGTGGTCACCATTCGAGGAAACGCGTACCCGATCACAGCACAGACCTATGTCATTCCGGTAAGTACGGTGATACGATAATTCGACACATCGGTTTCTTTGTAGACACCGGAAGGAAAGTGCATGTTGGGATTTTTGGGCAGAGAGTACAACAGTAGTCTGGACAGTGGCCCAGCTTGGATTCTGGGTGACTGTTGGATACGACAGTATTGCCAGGTATATGACATGTGGAACAAGAGGATCGGATTTTGCAGATCTCTTTAAGCGGCGTTCGATCATCGGAGCGCTGTTCTTCATGAAAGACAGTCAATCGACGTCAGCTCATAATACTGTCGCTGTGAATAGTTTAGGGAAAACTGAATTAAACTTGTTAAATCTTACAAATGCACTTTCGCACCTTAAGGCTATAGGATTTCCAGACCATAGATATTATTCAAGCCTCAGACGAATGAAGACATCAACATACAGATGTAGAAAACATTATTTTCTCAACATCATTCTATTACAATTTAGCTCCTGCTTACAACTGAAACGATTAAAAATTTTCCGCTCATTTAATTCATTAGTCGTCTTCTGTCCAGAAAATGAAAATAATTCATCTTATTTTTGATAAGGGTTACTATTATATGCCTTCGGTAACGTTCGCTCATACAGTTCCCCTGATCGTTTGGACCT